TTGTGTACTTATATTAATATATGTATTTAAATTTATAGTATTTTTTAAGCACATTACTCCTACTTACTTTACAAATTTAGCAACACAACACAACCACAAAAATTACCTATAAAATTCCTATATACCTACTTAATGTCTATAATAATAAATTACCAAACTATAAACTAGTATCGAAAGCAATAAACTAATTCTAATTACAACCACAATCCACAATGATTCTAATTCGAGAAATAAACGAGATAAATAGAAGCGTCGTTAAAACATAACCACATTCTTCTTTTATCTCCTAATTTTTAAATTTCAGTTCCACTACACAACAAAATTTTAGAGATACAGCTCTGCTATAGGATAAAGATTTTTCTCTAAAAGGAGCCTCTGTCTGTTTTCGTATAAATTAATGATATTTAAAACTAAATATAACTTTTTAAAATAAAGTTTAGTAGGAAGATTATATTTTGTAAAAAATATGCTTCAGTAAAAAAATGACACAGTTAACACCTAGAAAACGTCCCTAATACATCCCTAATGGGACGTCCCTTGGACGACCTTATGGGACGTCTCTGGTATGCCCGACTAGAAATATCCCTTGGACGTCCCTCGGACGTCCAAAAGAAGTCCCGGGACGTTTGGACCTTAAAACGACATAAAATGGACGTCCCAGGGATGTCCTGTGCTGTCTGGGTACCCTCGATGCACATGACGGCCACCCTTTTTCACAAAAATCTCTAATTATTTGAAGCTTCTTATCCTGTTTAGTTTCAGCTATAAATTCCTCTCTCCTTTCTTCTGTTATATTTAATGTATGCACTATTTCCGTTACAAATGCATCATCCTCTACCTTTTCCTTCAAAAAGTTTCGAGACAACAAATCAGCTATAAGCATTTCCTTGCCTGGCTTATATTCTACAGTTAAGTCATATTTTAATAATTTCACCTTCATACGTTGTAGTCTAGGAGAGTCTACTTCTGCTATACCTTTCTTCATTATCGAAATCAATGGCTTATGATCTGTGAAAACCTTAACTTCTCTACCATAAATATAATTATAAAATTTATTACAAGAAAATAGGATTGCATTTAGTTCCTTTTCAATCTGGCTAAATCTGGTTTCACAATTGGTTAAAGATCTAGAAGCAAAAGATACAGGTTTAAGATTTGTAATAATACACATCCAACACCATTTTGACTTGAATCTGTTTGAATTATTATTGGAATATTTTCATCAAAATTTGCAAGAACTGGTGGTGAGCAAATTAACTTTTTTATTAAATTAAATGAGTTTGTGTGACTTCTAGTCCACATCCAAACTGTATCCTTTTTCAACAATTCTCTTAGTGGGGCTGATACATCCGATAAATTTGGTATAAAATTGCGATGGTAATTGATCATGCCCAGTATTCTTTGTAACTCTTTTTTATTATTGGGTTCTTTTAAATTTATAATAGCTTTAACTTTATCTACATCAGGTCTCATACCATCTTTATCAAATGTATTTCCCAAATATTTTACTTCCGGCATTCTATACTGTATCTTATTGGGATTAAATGTTACTCCAATATTTCTAGCACGTTCTAATACTTTATTAAGGATTCTATCATGTTCTTTAAGACTACCTGCAAATATCAAAAGATCATCAAAATAGATGAGACATCCCTCAATATCACCAAAGTTTTCTAAGTTAATTCTTTGAAAAAATTCAGGAGCAATATTTAGTCCAAATGGAAGTCTATCAAATTTCCAAATTCCAAAAGGAGTTCCAAATGCACAAACTCTACTGGACCTCTCATCAAGTTGAACTTGATAGAATCCCTCTTTAAAGTCCAAAACAGAAAAATAACATTTGTTTTTTAACTTACTGCATATCTCTTCAATAGTAGGTATTAAACAATATTCCTTTTTAAGTGCTTTGTTTAAATCTCTAGGATCTAAACAAATTCTTAATGTTTTATCAGGTTTTTCAACTATTGCTCAACCACTCTGTAGGACCCTCACATTTAGATATAATGCCACGTTTTTCTAAATCTAAAAGTTGATTTTTTAATCTCTCTTTAATGGCTAAAGGGACCCTTCGTGGGGGCTTAGCCACAGGAACACAATTCTCTTTGAGTTTTAGTTTACATTTTTGAGGACATTTACCTAATCCAGTGAATACATGGTATCTACTCTTTGTATCAAACCCAAATCTAAACATGATTTTAAACCTAAAATTGGCATAAGGTTATCCTTAACTATAATAAATTCTAGTTGAAATATGTTCCCTTTAAATAAACATTTTAGTGTAATAATACCCACAGGTTTTATTTTAAATCCCCCATAAGCTTCTAACCTTATTTTGCTCTGAATTATCTCATGATTTTTATTGATTTTATTCAAAAAGTAGATTGATATAATGTTAACCTGAGAACCTGTATCTATTTTAAAGTCTATTCCATATTGCTCAATTACTAACCTTTCAGTCCATTCCTTATTTCCTTTTATTTCATTTACCTCAATTGATGTTACCATAAATTCTTCCTGTTTACGGTCCATATCTACTTCTTGAATCTCCTGAACTTCTCTTATGATTCTGTTGTTACACATTTTCTCGAAATGATTGTAATACAAACACTTATTGCACATTTTACCAAATGCTGGACACCTTCTGAACTCATGAGCACGGCCACATTTTCTGCACTGACCACTTTTCCTTGAGTTTTCCTCCTGTTCCCATCTTTTGTTTCTTCCAGTATTAAAGTTGTTATTCGAAGCTTTTGCCTTGCTGTTTGATTACCATTTCCCCCTTTTATAGAATGAACATTAAGTGCTTGACTTGACTGAACTTCTTTAAACTGTATTTTTGAAATTTCATATGCTCTACACATGTCTATTGCCTTTTGTAAGGTTACCTCATGATTCTGCACCATTTTTTCTTGTAGATCTTTATTGATTGTTCCTAAAACTAGTCTATTCCTGATCATTGAGTCTAGTACATCTCCGAATTCACAATTTTTTGCCAATTTACGCAAGTCAGTTCGGTAAGTATCAAATAGCTCTCCTTCCTCTTGTTTTCTATTGTAGAATAAAAATCTTTCGTAGATCACATTCTTTTTAGGGGTGAAGTAATTCTCTAATTCACCCAATACTGTACCATACGATTTTCTCTGTGCATCTGTTAACTTTAAGGTGTTAAACACATCAAGTCCTTCATCTCCCAAAAAATTTAACAGTAGAGCAATTTTTACTGTGTCTTCCTTTTCGGCCTTGTCACTGGCCAAGAGGTAAATTTCAAATGACTGTTTGAATCGCCGAAAGTTTTCAGCCACGTTACCTTCAAATGATAATGGTTGAGGTATTCTAAACTCCATATTGTTCTAATTCTAACAACTTCTTGTTTTCATTTATTTTGGAAGCAGCAGGCTTCATTAACCACAAGACTGCGCCATGTAATAATGTTAAACATGGACTGTTGTACATATTTATTAATATTACTTTCAGTATTACCGATTACAGTGTCATCCTAACCTCCTAATCTCAAGTGCTTAACCTAACCTCTGCCCCGAGACCACGTGCCGCCTGTCCCATGTCATAGTCCTGTCAGGACTTTACATTTACAAGCTATTCAGTCTCATGACACTATTATAATGTAACTATCTACTGATATTATTAAAATATTGTCTAACATTTTTATATAAAACACTATTATTCTTTGTAAGTGGGTATATTTAAAAAAAAAACCCTTAAAAGGGCTACATCAAATTAACACGAACGTTTTCGGAATAATAATTCCATCATCAGGTTAAAAATGCAAGTTAACTTGCCTGAGCCACCAATATATTAGGGTAAAAACCCTTTAAAATATATAAGGTTACCAAAGATTGTACATATTGTTGTTAATAATAATTGATGTTTAATATTTAATTATATTTTACTTCAGGTAACATACACCCATCCTTACGTGAGTACCAGCGTCCGGAGAGTTCATCCATCTCTCATCAATTTTTCTTTGGCTAATTCGATCTCCTTTTTTATTCTTCTCTGCAGGTGTTTATATTCTGTTACATTAGACTTTATCAGTCGACGTTGTTCCATTAATTTCAAGTTGTCAAGATTAAGTTTTTCTTGATTTTTTGTGGATATTTCGTTAACTTAGTTTTTAAATTCACTAGTTTTTAAATTCACTTCATAGTTCTTCTGGATCTTCCAGTTGTTTCCCGATGTTTTTTATTCTGTTGTTAAATTCTTTTTTAATGTTCTGTTCATCGTCAAAGTTAAGTTATCGTCAAAGTTAAGTACATTGGTTTTAGGTTTTTGTCGCTGAATTCGTTTTAACCTTAGTTTAATATCTGCTACGAGTGGTTGATGATCAGATCCAATATCTGCACCAGGATATGTAGTGACTTTTTTGACGGCATTTCGGAAACGCTCATTTACAAGTATATAGTCTATTTGATTTCTTAAAGACTCAGGGTTATTGCCATCATCAAATGGGGCTTTCCAAGTGTATAGTCGCTTGGGTAGTTTATACCAGGTGTTCATATCGTTCTCTTAGCAGAATTCATACAATCTCTGTCCTCGATCGTTAGCTTGTCCTAAACCATAAGGACCTACAGTCTGACCTCATCGACCTTCCCCACTTCTAATATCACTGAGTGTATTTCACTAATGGTGATGTTTCAAAAACCTACAATTCTGAGATATACTAAATACTTCACACTGTAGTCATTGATAAAATGAACTCATCTAGTGTAACCACACATGCCTTTTAAATTCGTAAGAACTAATTCCTAAGAATTCGTACTAATACATTTTCGTACGAATTCTTATCCAATGTAACCGCCGCCTTATGTAGAAATAACTGTCAAAGACAGTCAACACTGAAGACTAAGTTTAAAAATGTAGTGCATCACTGGATGCCTCCCTGCATGTCATAATACTTTAATTGTCAATCCTATGTTTTATTGTCATTGACTGTGATTGATCGACTGTCATGATTAAAAGTGGGGTTAATAAGAAAAATGGAATGGAAAAAACATTTTTAATTTTTTTATTATTTTTTAACATTTTACATACTATAATTACACATCACAACACACATAAAAAAATAATTTATAAATTAAATATTGTGTCAATAAAATATTAATTTAAACAATTAAACCAATATTTAGGCTTCGCAATCTACGCTAATGCGTTAAACTTTAAAACAAATAAAATTCACACGATTTCGTTTAGTTTTATAAAATCTCTACAGCTAGTCGAGGTTTATTTTTTTTTTCAAAACATATAAAGCCTTATAAATTATTGCCTAATAATACTGATTGGTCTTTACATTTGAGATACACGATTTTTGAGTTCCTTCAGTTGGTTTGCAATCTCTTTCGGCAAATCTTGACTAACTTGTTCGTCGAAGTACTTTTCGATGTCTTGTACTTCCTGTTTCCAGAAGTCTTTGGGCAAGCTGAATAATTCGTCAAAGTTGATATTTTCTTTAATGCCTGAAACAAATTAATTGTTCTAAATGTGTGCATTCATATGTGACATCGGATATGTACTTTGTTTAGGAATACCAGTGATACTGTTGTCAAACCTAAATATTTCTTAGGTATACTATTCTTAACCTTACCTTCTAAGTTCAAACTGTTCTTCTTAGGTACTAAACCAATCGCGGTATCTTGAGCAACATCTTCTCCATCAAGTCTTCTTAAAACCCAGTCTAGCACTCTGGAATTTTCACCAAAACCTGGCCACAAAAATTGTCCATTTGTACCTTTTCTGAACCAGTTTACATGGAATATCTTTGGAAGGTTGCTTGATTTTTGCTCCATGGACAACCAGTGGCTCAAATAGTCTCCAAAGTTGTAGCCAAAGAAGGGTCTCATAGCGAATGGATCGTGCATAATTACTTTTCCCTAAAAATATTATTATGTTAGTCAAATTTTAACCAGAAAGATACTGTTATATAACAATTCTATGCTAACAATGCAATACATTAGCTAGCTACCTTGTGTTCTGCTGCAGCAGTAGCTTCTGATCTCATTGTAGATCCAATGAATACACCGTGTTTCCAATCCCTTGCTTCATATACTAAAGGAACTCCAGCTGGTCGTCTTCCTCCGAACAGTATAGCTGAAATGGGTACTCCTTCAGGGTCTTCCCAAGCTGGATCTATTATAGGACATTGGTTGGCAGGTGTGCAAAATCTGAAAGTAAATAAAATTTTTTTAAATTTTGGACAAATCTTGTAGAAGTATAAAAACTTGGAGTATATATATATATATATATATATATATATATATATATATATATATATATTTGTTTTTAGTACAATTCTGAGCCTCCGATAGTAAAACTTAAGCACAAACCTGAACCCCGTTTACGATCCTGAACCTGTATATTGGTTCAGGATTGGGTTCCCTTTATAACTGACATATAATTTAGAATTTACAAATTAAATAATTTTTTTAAATTAGTGGTGCCATCAGCGGACAAAACTGCCTAACTTTCACTTCAATATGTCATTTGGAATCCGAGAGAAACCTGTTTGTATTGTGGTTCAGGATTACATTTTTTGGTTCAGCCATTTGCCACTTTGGCGCTGGAAACAATTTCTCGAATATACATGATTTTGTTATACATTATCACAATTAGTACCATCCTGATCCATACTATGTGGCAACATTGCTTTGTCGTTATTTTGTTTAGAGAATTAGGGAATTCTATTTTTAGCCAAGGTCAGACAGATTTCTTTTCAGTAGGTGGTATGGTATAAGATATTTAGATATTATTATTTAGTTCTTAGTTGCAACAGTCATTTGTGTTGGTTCAGGAAAGTCGGAACGTGTGTTTAAAAATGAATGATTATAAAGGACGTTGTAAACTGATGGTTGATATGTGTTTAGGGAAAGGTAAGTTATACAAAAGGTATTAAAATAAATTGTCATTTTTAGCACGTTGGCTTAAAAATCTAGCTGAATTGTCCTTATTTATATAAATTTATATTAACAGAGGTACAGGGTGTCCAAGTAAAATAGATATTCTTGATTTTAATTCAAATTTACAAAATGATGAGTCTAGAGTTTATTAAAAATTATTATAGGCGATGATTATATTATCCTGTTTTTAGGATTTGTTCTAAATCATATTTTAAAAAATGCAATTTTTTTTTTAACAAAAAAACATATAAATGATTTTAGACGACTTATGAAATGTTTTCAGTTGTCTCCGATATCTCAAAATATTGAGTTCCTGTTTAAATTCATTTTATACAGGCTATCCCAAGTAAGAGAAATCATGTCATCTTCTGTTTGCTAACTGTTATGCAAATTGTTGTAAAGGTACTTCGATAAACCTCTAAGCGAATTATTTTAGAAGGAAAAGTCTTCTTAACTAATGGACGTTGATGTCTTCCTGTTTATATTTTTAAATTAGTAATTTATCACTGTCAGTATCTCAGACGAATTTGACTAAATAAGCACTACTACAGGTTAATTAGTTTAATACCTTTGTCTCTATTAGTTAACAATAGCGCAAAGGGTGACTGTTTATGAGGACTTTTCATCTATCATTGATACCCCTGGAATTTTTAAAAATAGTTTTGAAACATCCTGTATAAAATGAACCAGAAAAGCAAAGAATGAAAAAGGGTTTAAAGATTAAATGTATAATGTTTAGACAAAAACATAAAAAAATACACTTTTATTAATGCAAAAACAATTTGGAGAGCAGCTTATCTCCAATTTCGCAGATACACGTAAATAAAGATTCCGAAGTTTTAAGTTTAAAAGACAAAAATGGAAAGGGGAAAGACAAAAAAGAGCAACGTATGGGTAATGTAAAATCTGACATGCGTTTAACGAAAGTAAAGTTTAAATAATATTTTAAATACTTAATAATAATGGGTCTGAAATATTTTTTATAATATATAAAGCTCGAAGAATAAAATATGATTTTGTTAATATTTTTCCTGTATTTACAGAGAAATCATAATCTTTTTGTATAAAAATGTTACACTTCGACATTTAAAATATTAACCATGTGCTGAATTACAACTAGTAAAATATCTCAAAAACAGTTAATATTTGGAAAGTCCTTGAAATATAACTTTTTTATTCAAAAATGAATGGTTTCAAAATAAGTTAGATGTAAATTATTGAGTGACAACAAATTTTAAGCTGATTTCTTCTATTCAATACGATGAAAGTGGGGATATCTCGAGAACATACACATTTAATAACATGGGGATCGATCCAGTGGAGTAGTAGTAGAGTATCCGCTGGGCTTTTGTTAATGTTTTCCTCTTTCCGCACAAGTTTTCTAGGAGACTTCTAACGGTTCACTCGTAAGGGGTTGGTTGTGTTATAATCACCCGAATTTTCAAGCATCTATTTGGAAAAATGGCTAATTTAAGAACAAAAACAGATTCTGTTCTTACAGGCCTCAAAGGGCCTAAGAGACCTATAGGCCCCTTAGGCCCTATATTCTTGAGTAAAATATTATTATTTAGATCTTTTAAATTTACATATACAATTTGGGCACATTACTTTTTACTTAACCTGTACAATATAGATATTACAGTATGGTGTAATGTATGGAATAAATTCATTTTAGAAAAACAAATTATTTTGTGAAATTCTGGGATAGGTTAATCTTAATTTTATTTGAATTTATTTTATGTAAAATGTAAATTAAAATCAAAAATCGATGTCTTAGGATTTTTTTAAATTGTTTGTTTAGCTAAATATAAACAGCATACTGTATGTATAAAGTAAAACAACGCAAAATAAAATAAAAAACAGTTTAATTGTAAATAAAAAAGCGTGTTCTATTCGCCATAAATTATTGTGAAATTTTTAGATGAAAAGTTACCTGGCCTTGATTCAGCTTGCTCGAATATTTCTGAAAATAGGCTATTACCACCTACAAAAATACAAATAATTGAAGATTGGCTTCTGGGTGTGGAACCCAAATGCATATATTCAAAGTTTAATTCTCAAAATGAAAAAGAAAATACAGAAATGAATAATGCAAAAGAACAACAAGAAATGGAAGAACACGAGGGAGACAAGTTTATAAGTGATCAAGCAATAAATATGGATTTTTTATCTGACGAATGTGATTCCTATGCGGACAATAATAATGCTGTGTTTCTAGGAACAAAAAAAATGGATAACTCGTCTAACACATCCAAAAGTGAATTTATAGAGGATGACGACGATTCCATAAAAGATCCTAATTATATACCATCAGAAGACGGCCGAGCTAAAAAAAAAATGGGTAGGTCCTTTTTTGTTTAATTTGTCTCAAATTTGGTTAAACTCTTACTCTTTCTTGCAGTTATCAAATTTAAAAATGCCACTAAGAAAGAGTCATCCAAAAATCTGTGAAGAATTGGTTGACAGCAAACAGCGTGAGACCGATTCGTTAATACTTGAAAAAGTGATTGATAGAGCGGAGCATGGGAATGCTGTTTCTTCAATATTTAAAGAACCGATTGAAAGAGAGAAGCGTGAAAAAGACGAATCCCTAATAATACGGAAACTCTTAAATTTTGATAATAAACAAAAAAGTGAACATCAAATGGAGAAGGAGAGTGAAAAGGAGCAACACACAAGCAGCAATTCTGTAGCTCAAAGGACATCATCTTTTTCTCTAGAAGAGAAGGTAAGAACTCAATTAAATTACCATATAAGCAGTATATGGCATCCAAAACAATTTGATACTTTACATTCCCCTAAACTCCAATAATTGTTAAACTAACAATATGTGAGAAAGCATATAACGTGAGGAAAGAAGCAGAATTGATTTTAATTAATTAGACATAACATGCTGTGTTAAGGTTATTTCATCGTTTACGACTCATCAGACCGGTTTTTTATGTCAAAAAAAAAAAGAAACCAAACTCAGCTATATGTATTAAAAAGGCTATCTGACAAGTCGTAAAGGACGAGACAACTGAGTCACAAGATGTCTTGTCTTAAGTTAAAATCAATGTTTTTTTTAATGTTACTTTAATTAAATCTTTTCTGTTTTTTTAACGTGTTTGATTCATTTTACATTTTTTTTCCAGGCACTTGTTGAAAAAACGTTAAGAAAAAATTACAAAGATCGAAGGGATTTTTGCTTCTATTGCGAGAAGGATGTATCCCATTTTGCTAGACATATTTCTAAATGGCACTCAGAAGAAATTGACGTAGTAAAAATATTATGTCATAAGGTTAATTCAAAAGAGAGACGATTGGCTGTATCAAACTTAAGGAAAAAGGGAAATTTTATCAGAAATCGGACGGACTCCGCATTAAGACCTGTTAAGAGGCCAAAACTTACTGATAAGTCGTTAAGTGCAGATCAGTATCTGCCATGCAAGTATTGTTTGGGTTACTATAAGAAAAATTTTTTATTTAGGCATACCAAAATTTGTCCGTCTAATTATGATGAGGAAAATAATAGAAGACAAACGTCCCAAAGCGACGGACAAACCACTTTGCTTCTACACCATTTTCTTAAACATGACGATTTATTAAAATCAAAAATTTTTTCCAGAATGCGTGCAGACGACATAAATCTTATTGCTAAAAAAGATCCCTTAATTTGCCAGTACGCATATTCGTACATAAAAGGCCGTCAAAGTAAAGGCAATATTGATTTGGTAAGACAAAATATGCGAAGACTCGCAAAACTCTTAGACTTTGCAAGACGACAGAATCCTGATATTAAGAAACTTATAGATATTCTTCGCCCAAAGCATTTTCAACTAATAATTTCTGGAGTTAATAAAATAGCAAAATATAACCCAGAAACAGATAATTATGAGTCACCAACTTTAGCCATAAATTTTGGGACACTTATGAAAAAATGTTGTGACTTAGCATATATTAATCTTGTTCAGATTGAAAACACAAGCGATGAGAGAAAAGAACTTAAAATATTAAAAACTCTTTTAGAATCCCAATGGTGTGATGAAGTTTCTGCTCAAGCATGGATCAAGCCAATTTAAATCAAAATAAATGGAATAAAGAAGAACTTTTGCCGCTTACTAACGACCTCAAGAAACTTAATATTTTTTTGCAAACATCTGCAGAAGAATTATTTCACAAATTGAAATCAGATGAGTATGATTTTAAGACCTATAATTCATTAAAAGACACACTGTATGCGCAAGTCATTCTTCTTAACAGACGGCGACCAGCAGAGGTGGCTCAGCTAAAGGTCCAAACGTTTAAATCTATTAATTTAGGGGGTGAAAATGATAACGAATTTGAAAAATGTTTAACTGAAGCTGAAAAAATTTTATTAAAAACTTACAGTCGTTTAGTTATAAGAGGTAAGCGTGGAAGAGGTGTTCCTATATTGTTATCACCATCAATGAAAATGCATTTTGATTTAATTTTGCACTGTAGAAATAACTTTACAATTGAAAGTGACTTTGTATTTCACACCACTGGAAGAGGATTTGTTGATGGAACTAAAATTATTCATAAATATGCCAAGAAATGTCAGTTGGAGAGACCTGCGAGTATAACAGCAACAAAACTTCGAAAGCATTTGGCCACCATTACTCAACTTCTTCAATTTTCCAATAATGATATGGAGCAATTAAGCAAATTCATGGGACACACATTACAAACACATTGCAATTATTATCGTTTGTCTGACAAAGTATATCAAACGGCTAAAATTTCCAAACTTTTACTGTTAATGATGGAAGGCGGAGCTGAAAAATATAAAGGCAAAACATTAGACGAAATTGACATTAATTTAGCTCCTCTCACTGACGCGGAAGAGGAAGAAATGGAAAATATCTTGAAAACTAATGATAATCTAAACGTAGATTGCGGGATTCCATCTACTTCAGCTAACGTCGATAATAATAAAGAATCTCATAAAAAATTGGGCAATTTAAAAAAGAAAATATTTATTGATAGACGACGACCATGGACAAAACAAGAAAAAAGCATTATCGCAGAATACTTTTCCGACAACATTAAAAAAAGAAAGCCTCCCATTAAGGTAGAAGTGCAACACCTTATTGAAGAATATCCCGAGGTATTTAAAGAAAGAAAATGGACATGTATTAAAGCTGTAGTTTATAATATGTATACAGAAAAACTTAAATACTAAACACCCATTTTCAAATATTTTTTAGTTGATTTTTAATTTTTTTTTCACTGCTTTGAAAGACTTTCTTGTTTTAGTTTTGATCTGATCTGTATCACAATATTCTTATGTTTGTACCTACTTTTGATATTAAATTAAAGCCATACTTTGCTGATGTATTCCTTTTTTTTTTTAATCTAAATCGTCGTTAATAAAAGCTCATATTTTTGACTTTTATAAACTGGAACGTATGTGACGCCTTCGCTGTTAAAATAATCTGTAGATAGAACGTATTGTTTACATATTTTAGGATACGTATAATTAGGGCAAAGTAAAAATGTACTGCTTCTGACTCTCACGCAAACACATACAAACATTTTCCTAAGGAATCCTATTTTACTTAAAACTGGCAACATCTCTTAGGCTCAGGTTTGTGCATATACATGCATGTTTGGGTTCAGAATTGGCTGAAATAACAAAGGGTTCAGGATTGTGCCATTTATAGGTAAAATCCCCATTTATATATCTTTGAAAATATTAAAATATTCTTTTGTATATATAGATTTTTAAAATCCCCGCTAGAATTAATGAATATAAGCTTGTAATAGGCAGCTCTAAATACTCTAGATATAGGAGGTTCAGGATTGTATGGTTTTTCAGATGGTTCAGGTTTGGTATAAAGATGTATATATATTATATATATATTATATATATATATATATATATATATATATATATATATATATATATATATATATATATTATATATAACTTTAAGTGTCAATAATTTTATTTTAATGTATTTTGTGTGGTGTTGAGTTCCATTTCTTCCTTCCAAAATGTACATCTTATTAGACGCTTAGTGGTGAAATTCCGTTTCACTCGATATAGATTCTCAACCATGCCGATATTACAATTCTTAGAAGAAATAAACGAAGATATTTAACGGTACTTCTTTGGGTAAGAGCCGCCGCTACCTGCCTACATAATTTGGAAAATAGTATGGACACTCGACAGGCGGGGAAAAAGTACGCGCATCATTTAGCGCAGGCCATATCGCCATATTGAAAACAGACCGAACGCTAGTGACACCGACTGGTATTAATGTGACGTGTAGTCGAATCATCTGCCGTGATTTGTTTGTTTATATCTTTATCGTCGAGTTTTATTTTTCGTTTAATTAGGTCTAAAAAAACTTGGGGATATTAATTTCATTTTAAAATTATTTTTATAAAAATTTAATTTATGTAATTTAATAATTGTTCAACAATATTTAGTATTTAGTATTTATGTTATGGTTAGGATATTTTATGTTGTTAATTGTTTTGTAAAAAATGGAAACATCCCGTTAATAAATAAATAAATACTAATTCTGGTTTTATTCGCAAAAAATAAAGGAATTGATATTTCCAGTTAGGAAAATGGTAACCTTTACAACTGAACATAAAATTCGAATTATTAAATGATATTATTCTGGAAGTAGGGCCAACGATGTAATCGCTACGTTTTCGTTTTCATTCGAAACCCTGTACCATCAAACTCTGCAATTCACAAGATTATTTTTAAATTTGAAAATTAACCAGCTCGTGCAATTAATGAAGAACAGGAACAGCCTAAAACTGCCGTAAGTAGTCTAACTGAAATCAATTTTCCTTGTAACAGCACGTTCTAATTTCAAAAGAAACTGGTATTTAGGTACTGCTAGAACTGTATGAAATACTTAAAAGAAACATGACCATAGCTACTAAAAAAATCTTAAATTCACAACCATTCTACTAGAAACTGTAGTAAATGCAATTTAAAAAGGCAGGAAAAAAATATATAATAAAAAAGATGGCCCTGGCTGTCTTTTATGTAATTTAACATATAATAAGAAAAAATGCATATGTTCTTTATAAAAGCGCAAATAGTCAATATTCTTTGTCTCAAAAACATTTCACGATATTACTCGGTCTCGGTCTTTTGAATGAACATCTGAAAAGAAGAAAAGATATGAAACAGCTCTCTAATAATGATTTAAAAACCACAATCATAAAAATTCTTGGAACAGATCAAGACAAGAGTTCAAGAAACCCAACTGAGGAACTTTCATATCGACAACCTGCTAAGCAAACAAGACGTCATTTTTGTCCGAAACATAAAGACATGAAATCATGTGATCACTGTAAGAGAGCAAGTTTTAAGGAACGTAGTGTCACCCAATATATATATATATATATATATATATATATATATATATATATATATATATATATATATATATATATAATATATACTTGTTTTGGAATATAAGTTTTTTAGTTTCTTATTTGGCTATGGTAGAAAAGTTTTATTTTTATATAAAATAAATAAAACATTTTGATAATAATAATTAAATTAAATTAAATTAATATATTGTCGATTGTAATTAACTCAAATTAACTTGTTTACTAACTTTGAAATAATATAAATACGTCTCTGTTCTAACCACTTGTGCCAGTCCGTAACTGATCTAGTCTGTTTTCAATATGGCGTCTGGATACTTTTATACTTCAAAGGCGCCGACTAAGAGTGTCCTAACTGTTTGTGGTTAAACTGTGATTTGGATATTACCAGTAGCAGTAGAGTTAGTTAAGAAAAAGCCATCACAGAAGTCGGTCGCAAAACGTCGTAAGTTATAATCGCTAGCTCGCAAAATATCGGCTTCACTTATAATATATTATATTTGTAACTAAGTAGTTCACATCGCATAAAGTAGTTCATAAATATTATTAAGCCGATCATTCATAGTAATCACTGTTTCCTAAAACCGCAGTGATAACACTTCCTTTATTCAAACCATCAGCGTTGTCAGAAGTTCGCTATTAACATAGAAACAACATTCCGCTAAGCAATTCTACTTGTAATTCTATATAATAGTGAAATTAGCCTCAGTGAAAAGTGTAGTGAAATATTCCATAAAACAGTGTTTCCGAAAAGCTATCAGAAATTGCTATTTAATCTTAGCAATAGAAGTTAGTGTTTAATCTGTTTTTCATTCCACCTCTTGGCTGTTGTTATTTAGATTCTTTTAAATAAATTTGATTGATTAACCACTTAAAGGTTATGAATGCTGAAGTTCTTGCAGGGGTAGTGTTGTTCTTTTTTACTCAGTTTCCATATCTGTCCCAATTTTGTATCAGTCCATCAGGTTTTTAGTCGCCCCGGCTTCTTCTTCCTTCCGATTTGATTTGGACTACAGGCCTCTCATATTATCGACCGTGAGATATGTCGGAAGAATGTTAATGTCTTTGAATATACGGATCTTGGGAGATGCGGATTATTAATATCCGCAAGAACTATATATTATATAAATACATTCCTTGTACCGGTATGTAAGTACAATTTATATACTCTTTAAAACTATGCATAAATAATACTGGCATCATTAATAGTAAACCTGACAGAATCGTGATAGTAATAATGTGTATTTTTACCATTTAGGTAACCTGTCAAGAGACCTGACGAAGAACAGCAAGTTTAATGTTCGAAAAAGGTCGCCCAATAGCCAATAATCTGATTGTAAGTAAGTATAATATGTCTTCGATTTTAACTATAGATTAATTTAGAGTTTACTCTAACTTTTATTATTTTCAATAAAAAAAATTCAGTTTACCTTGAATTTGGATGAGCAGCAGGCGTCTTTTGACTCTTGGTCCAGGGAACACCTTTCCAGTCAGTTATTGCAACATTATCGCTTACTTCCTTTTCCATACCTTCCCAGTAAACTCCTCCATCACTTGTAGATCCTACATTTGTGAACATGGTGTTTTTGAAGATGGTGTCCATAGCAATTGGGTTACTACTTCTTGAAGTTCCTGTAAAAAAGAAAAAAAAATTAAATAAGACTGTATATTTGTCTGTTTTTTTTTTATTATCAGAATCAGAATCGAAAAACAATTGAATCGTTTTCATAACTTTAAAGTTAGTTATTAAAACTCACCTGGAGCAACTCCAAAGAAACCATTTTCTGGATTTATGGCTCTTAATTGTCCGTATTTGTCAAATCTCATCCATGCAATATCGTCACCAACACACTCAATTTTATAACCAGGTAAAGTAGGAGTCATCATAGCCAAGTTGGTTTTTCCGCAGGCAGAAGGAAAAGCAGCTGCTATATAACGCTTTTTGCCTGAAGGACTGGTGATGCCCAAAATCTAAAAATATAATATTATTTATTAGGATTAACTTTAAATGTTAAGGAAGAGATACAAAACACACCTAAACAACTAACAAATGGCAAAGCTGCTGGAAGTGATATTCTACCGATATATTTAATAAAGGCAGACGGAAGCGAATCGGTAGAAATGTTAGACAAACTCTTTAACAAGATATAGGCCGACGAGGAGCTACCAAAGGAATGAAAAGAAAGTGTAATTACAAAAAGGTGCGATCTAAGTAAATACGAGAATTGGAGAGCAAATACATTGCTGAGCGCCATATCCAAAATAATGTCTAAGATTATATTGAACAGACTAAAGCTAAACCCAGACAAGAAACTAAGAAGCAGTTTAGGCTTTTGCGCTAAACTCTCTACTAACAACGACACTTGTACTCTAAGAATTATCTTGTTACAAGCTAGCTAATGGCGAAGAAATATAAATATAATGTTTATTGACTTCAAAAAGGGCTTCGATAGCATAAACAGAAAGCAAATGTGGAAGACTATAAGGACTAGCAATGACATGTATTATCCTACATATTATTTTACAAGGGATACAGAGCCAAACTAGAACATACGGAGGAAATGGTAGAAGATATACTTATACAAAGGGGGGGTAAACAAGAATGAGTGCTATCCTCGACACTATTTCTAATTATGGAGAGTCCTAATTCCATCGAGCAAAAATACAAAAGAGGGAATCTAATCCTTATTAAAAGGAGACCAAAAAAGAGGCCTCTGATGGCGGACATATCCGGAAATGCGAATGCGCCAAATTTAAATTTTCCGACACTTATCAACAGTAGCTATATAATAAATGCGACACAATTGTTAAAAAAACTTCAATATAAATAAGATTTCATGTGACATTTGGGACAAAACAATAACATAACCCAACTAAATTTGATGTCAAACAAGGAGAGAGACTCTCTTTCCTTGTTTAATGTGGCCTCTAAAGATCGCACTTCCTGTCTAACAATATGTTTGCCCCCACTACCTTTACATTCCCTCTTTTGTCTTTTTGCTCGATGCCTAATCCAGAACTATGGAAAAGAACAAAACAAGAGAAAATAACAGTCACGATTAAAAGAAGGAAATAGAAATGGATTCGACATACACTAAGGAAAGACCAAAATAATATAACCAGACTCGAATACTCATCAGATGAAAGAAGAAGGAAGATCAGATAATCGCTGGAGAAGAGCTGTAACAAGAGAGCATAAAAAAATTGGCTTGATAAAGAGAGGTTAAACAGAGAGCGAGAAATAGAAAGGAATGGAAAATACTTGTAGAGGAAATTCTGATTATATAAAACAGAAAAGGATGCGCTGATCCAGCTAATCAGTCATCTGTCACTTTTGAGTAAGAAACACAAGAGCGTCCAATACTCCATAATGAGGGAAGACAGTAGAGAGGACTTTCAATTTTTAATAAAAAACAAGAATATTTTCTATGTTGATAATATAAACCTTGCAAAGAAGGATATTTCTCTTAAAAATAATGATGCTTCTGGTGAAGAAGTAATTTATATGACGTTTCTAGTTATCTATTATAAAATATCAATGAATTGAAACGTGAATTACATGGATTAATTATCCCTTACCAAAAAGTATCCCTACAACTATACAAAGGTTGTAGGACATATTCTATTTGCGAAGATGGGATTTGGACACTACGAGATCAATACAAATCATATCAAAAATCTTCGAACTTGGGAGAATACCAAAATTCTTGCAATCTGGACAAAATGCAGAGAGAGTATGTGGAATTCCAGTGAACCATTGTATTTACTCATATGATGGGAAGGTCTAAAAAATGTATGAGATATCCTCCTAATATATGTCGAACATAGAGTGCCTCGTCTGTGCAATAGACAGTCCAATGCAAGAGAAAGAAAATGGAAATAGAAACAGAAGACAAATATAACTAACGAGCTTCATCAAATGTAAGATATTATCATTTTACCATCCCTATTACCAAATACACTACTCTAGTTTTATGTGGTAGGATGGAAAGAAATTTTCGCAAATGAATGAAAACCTGTGATAATCACTTCCAAAGGTGAGTTCACCAATGAATCCAAACCGAACAGCCAATAGCTTAGAAGGATAAATTTTAGGAGATTTACAAATGCAATAGAAGAAGTATAATGAAAGGATAGTATGTATTTGGTATAAAGGTCTTACGACCATAGACCAAGTAGTTTCCCGCCTGAATTACGAAGCAGAAGAAAGTACTTATTAAAGTCCAAAAACCATAGTATAACGTGATACAAAAAGAAATTAAAGAAGAGGAAGAACAAGAAAAATTTTTTTACCTGAACTTGCAAAGAAAGATTAATGAACAGACATCTTATATACTTATGGCAAACTATCTCAATACAATGAAGAGAAAGAACGGGAAAAAGCAGGGAAGGACAGGAAAAGTAACTAAAAGTTTTTAAATTCAGTACAGTTTAATGTCAAAATATTTTCAGATATAAATAAAATAAACATCTTGAAGATCTTTTATCATTTCTACTAATATTTAAGTACCAGAAGAAAATATTAAAACAAAATGGAATAAACTAAGAGCACATAAATATAAATACACAACAATGTAACAGTACAATCATTTACTCACCAACATATGTTCTGCTAACCATCCCTCCCTTCTGGCAATAGTAGATCCAATTCTTAAAGCAAAACATTTCTTTCCCAACAGCGAGTTACCTCCATAGCCACTGCCATAGGAAACAATCTCATTGTTCTTTGGTCTGTGAAGGATAATGGTCCTTTCAGGGTCGCAGGGCCAACTCGGATTTTCGAAAACTCCATTCCTAGGTGTTCCTACCGAATGAAGGCATTTCACAAATTCTTGGCTTTCTCTTAGTTTTCTTAATACCGGTGCACCCATTCTTGTCATTATCCTCATGGATGCAACAACGTATGGCGAGTCAGTTATTTCAATTCCTACAAAAATATAATATATGTATCACATCTTGTTGCTTACATAGAGGATTGTGAAGTATATGTAGTATTCGGTGAACACTGATATTTTTCATGTACCGTATACCTTGAATACTCAATGAGACAAGTTGCTATCGTTGTTTTTTTAGCCTCAAGTGATAGATATCATATCTATTTAAACATAAACTTACCTATTTTTGATAATGGAGATCCAATAGGCCCCATAGAAAATGGAACGATATACATGGTCCTTCCCGACATGCACGACGTAAATCTTTCCTTAACAGCTACATCCATATCCTTAGGGGAGAGCCAATTACCCAAGGTACCTTGAACTCCATTTTTAGGCGTTGGAATAGTTTCTGACTTCGAGTCGGTGCTAATGAACGTTTTTGATTCCACTCTGGCAGTATCAGCAGGGTTAGTGCTGGCTAACCAACTGCAAGTGAAGAATAATTATTATTTTTGTAATAATTTTTTATAAAAAAATTTAAACACTCGACAGAGATAAGAGCAAGGATTAAGAAGATAAGATCAGCATTTATCAAAATTAAAAGATTTCCATTGGTATTGATCTACAATTTACAATTAAGGTCAACTTGCTGAGATGTTGTGTTTTGTTCGCTCTTTTGCACGAAGTGAAATCGCGAAGTTTGTCCAATGCTTCCATGAAGTGTCTTGAAACGTGGTGCTACAGACGCATAATGTGAATCCCTTAAGTGGACAGTGTTACTAATAATGAGGTCTTGCAAAGAATAAGAAAGGACCGCGAAATAAGCATAGTTATATGCATAACGAACATCGGTAGAGCCGTAACGACTACAGAACTTTTTAAAGAAGCAGTCAATAAAGTTAGAAAAATCATGCTGTTAGAATAACATCTGTAATAGATAGACACTGCAAAAAGAAGATACAATATTCAACAACAGAAGATACAACTCCTTCCAAAAATAATATTTAGACAGGGAGCTAGTAACCAGATTTTAGGATCAGCTGCAAATTTGTTAAAATATATACATAATAGAGAATAAAAAACATAAACTGAAAAATTAGATTAGAAAGACCAAGACCAAAATTAAGATAAGCAAAAATATTTCTTTCAATAACTTAAGCTTTGATTTTTTTTAAACTTCCATGGTGTTTTATTCAAACTGGTATAGGTAGGTTTTTAATACTTTCAGTAGCATTTGTTTCTCTGCCGTCACAATTTTCTAATTATTTAAATTTTCATGCCATTGGGATTCTCCTGGTCAAGAAAAAAATTAACTGGCATCTTTAATGCAGAATACTTGAGTTGCCAACTAATAAATAATTATAGAAATGCGCCTTTTTTAAACAAAATCCAAAACACTTCCAAACTACCTGTGTCTGGTAATTCTTCGCCTTTCTAAGAAACTAGGCGAACCATGTTTTCTGGGAATAGACGTTGATCTAAATCTAGCTAATCTAGAACTAGAGTTAGAGCTTAATGAAGCAGACCGACTTCTCGATCTCGAATATGATCTCGACCTAGAACAAGACTTGCTAGAGGTTGGCGACAAGGAGCTGCTCTTTCCATGCTTTGAACTTAGAGAAGATCTAGATGAACTCCTTGTCTTCGATTTAGTGTTACTTGTTCTACCTTCTTCTTTAGAACGACTTTTCGATCTTGATCTTGGTTTACTAATCTTCATGTGGATATCGACATTGTCTTTACCAGCTATTGAACAGTCGCAGATATCGAGGATTTTTTTCGCCTTTCTCGACTTCTTTCTCCTTCTCTTTTTCTACCTCCGGTCCTGATACATCACCTTCACTGGAGGAAAACCATTACGAGACTACTGGTAACGGTTTTTTCGTTTTTAACGTTTCTATGGATTTCTTTTTAACCTTTTCTTTTGCCATATCAAGTGTTAAAGATTTCTTGGTTGAACTTTTGGGGAATAACATTTCATGGTTTTTTGTCATTAGTGTAGTAAACCTATCCCTTGAGTATTTCTGTGATATTTTAATATCAGATTTATCTACAAGAGATGATTAAACTTGTTCCTTACTCGAAATGTTCTTGACTAATGCTTTAATCTGACTGTTTATTTTATCTTCTGATTCGATGTGCCTAGATTTTTCTTTGGAAGAATGTCTGTGATCCGGAGAACAACTACGTCGTTTAGGACTATGACTTTTTCTCGATCTGCTTCGACTATGGATTGGTGATCTACTCCATGAAGTTCTTATTTCACGCCCATCAGTCTTTTTGGATCTCCTTTCTAATGATCTGGATCAATGTTTACGAGAATTTGATCTGTTTCTTTTAATGAATGATTGGAAGAAAATATAATTTTTGGATAAATAACTTAACAGAAAATGTTTTATTTCGCAATAATCTTAATTAATTAGTCCAATCGGGATGTCATTTGACCTTGCCTGGCAAGCTACTCTAAATTTTATTGTTCTAACCTTTACGAGCGTTGCAAATTTAAAATCGTAACTGAATTCCGCATCCGCGTTACCCGCAAAGGAGAACTGTGTTTGCTCAATATCTCCGCAATTTTGAGCAAAAACGGTCTTCTTTAAATTCAAGATGGCGGCTAATACGGCGACGAAATTCAGTCGCGATTTTAAATGTACACTACTATTGATGCACCTTTAAAGATTAGAATAATAAAATTTTGGGTAGCTTGCCATGCAAGGTTAGGCCTTTTTTCGTCAAGCCAGACTGGACTGACTAATTTGTAATCAAAAAGCGCTGATAATATTAATAGTAATGCCAGAATGCTGATATAATTTTAATAACTATAAGATTGCTTACCAGTTTTCATATTTTGGCAAAGGTTTAATAGTTCCTTGTTGTAACATTAGTTGAATCAACTTTTCATTTTCTGCATCTGTTCCATCACAGATGTGAAGTTTATCTGGTTGACACAGATTAACATTTTCTTGGACGTAAGATTGCACCTGAAAAATCATATAAATCATCAAATTTGTTTTACTGACGGAATTAAATTAATGAAACAACAAAAGATTGTGAAAATTTACGTGTTTTAGACATTTTATGAGAAGGAACTGGCTAATAAAAATGTTATAGCAAAATTTTTGGAACGTGTAAATTCACTTTGTTTTAATAAAATTGCCAAAAAATAAAAAAAAATAGAAGTATTGCAAAGAAAATATATTAATTTGCTCATTTTATAGGCCCAATCCATTAAAATATTTGCTATTTCTATGACCTAAGTTGAAGTTATACAATGTGTTATAAGAAAGGAGAAAAACAGAAGCAATAAACAGCAGAGCTAGTTAAAAATAAAACCTTTATTCTAAATGCTGCCAAGAAATCTGTTGGCGAGAAGACGGTAGAATAGAACAGATTAAAACAGAATAGAATATAATAGAACAGAATAGAATAGAACAGAATAGAACAGAATAGAACAGAATAGAACAAAAAAGAACAGAATAGAACAGAATATAACAGAATATAACAGAATGGAAAAGAATAGAACAGAGTAGAAGATAATATAACAGAATAGAACAGCATAGAACAGAATAGAAGAGAATAGATTGTCTCCGGAGGCGTGTCAGGCAGAAGCTGACAGCCGTGCCGGACGCATTTAAAGATTCGGAGAAATACTTTCTCGGAAATTCCAAGTTTGGGCAAATCCGAATTTCTAATTGACTCGATGCAGGGAAATTCCACTTTTGCTACGTAAAACAAAGGATTTGTTTTATATAAAAGCAGATGGAATTTCTCTCATCGGGCAGTCGAGCTTGCCTCTTCTACTGTAGACCTAGTCGGTGCTAATATTGTTCCGACTAAGCTATTGTTTTATTTCTGACTTCCTGCATACCATTTCTTTTATTTCAGCATTATTGTATATTCAGACCTTGTCAGGTTAGAATATTACATATTTGTTCATGTACTGATTGGTTGCTATTTTATTTGATTATTTTGATTGTTTATTTTCTTGTATTTTTATCTAAGCTGTTCTTCCGTAAGTTCAGAACACTTAGAAATATTTATCTTGCCTTTTTTTATTTTATATATTTGATTTTGTCCTATCTAAGTAGTTCTTTTCGGTAAGTCAAAGAACACTTAGAAATATTTTCATATCGCATTATTATTCCTGATATTTTATCTAAGATATTTTCTTCCGTAAGTTAAGAAAATACTTATATATTTGTCTATTTCATTTTCCATTTTATGCTAAGTTTCTTCCGTAAGTCAAGAAACGCTTAGCAATATTTTCACATCTTTTCTGTATTTGATTTTCTTGTTTTCTATTATAGTTGTTTCTTCCATAAGCCAAGAAACACTTATAAATATTTGTTCATTTATCTTACTTGTTTATTTCCTGTTCTAAGTTGTTTCTTCCGTAAGTTAAGAAACACTTAGACGTATTTCTATAATCTGTTTCATTTTTGCATTTCTTATTTTATACTTTATTTTTCATTTCTAAGCCGTTTCTTCTGTAAGTCAAGAAACACTTCGAATATTTCCATATTGTATTCTCACACTTGCATATTTCATTTTTTTATATTTTTGCCCTAAGTTGTTTCTTCCGTAAGTCAAAAAAAACACTTAGGAACATTTCTCTTGCATTATATTTTTTTATACCATTTTGATTTACTTGTTTTTACTAAGTTATTCCTTCCGTAAGTCAAGGAATACTTAGATTATTTTTACCTATCTGTTTTCCATCTTTACTCTGTTACTTTGTAACTGTTCTTTGGAACCGTTACCTATAACAGATATTTGTCACTGGAACTGTTATTTATAACAGCAGTGGTATTTAACCCTTATACCAGCGGCAAATCAGAGGTGGTCAATACCCGTTCAAATTCCGGGGATAGGAAGAAGCCCGAAGAGCCGGCGATGGGTCCTACAGGCCCAAATGCCCCCTCTCGGCAAGACAGAATAGAACAGAATAGAACAGAATAGAACAGAATAGAACAGAATAGAACAGAATAGAAGAGAATAGAACAGAATAGAAAATAATAGAATTGAATAGAATAGAATAGAACAGCATAGAACAGAACAAACCAAAGTAGAATAGATAAGAATAGTATAAAAGAAAAGAGAATAGAATAGAGTGAAATAAAATAAAAGTTTTTGCTAAAAGCTAAATATATCTTCAAAATAAATAAATACGAACAAAAATGAATGAAAATATTAATCAGTAAAAATATTTATTAAGCATTTGGCAAGTTAATGATCGTAATTTTATAAATATTTAGTTTAAAATACGCTTTAATTAGTTTATTTAGTAGTTCTAACTACAACAATATTCTAGTTATCAAAGTTGTACCAGCTAACAAGCTAACATTTAGTAATTAACTATCTTATCAAAAGAAATTCCTCACTCTTCTAAATCACGTTATTTTTTAATTCATTAATTTTATATAATTTATCATTTAATGTTTATTGCTATTAACACCGACTATAAATTAAATCAAACATGTTGCTATATAGGATAAAACTAATTATTGAATGTTTCTGGTTACTAATTTATCCGGCCCTCCCATTATTCGCGCCGAGGTGGAGTACGCTATAAAAGTAGCAAAACTAGGCAAAGCCCCTGGACCGGATGGAATTACTACGGAAGCCATAAAACTGTTGGATGATGATAACATCGACATGCTGGTAACAATTTTCAATGCCATATATAACACCGGCCACATTCTAACGGATTAGCTTTATTCAACTTTTATAATGATCCCTAAATCCCAAATCGCGACAAAATGCAAAGACCACAGACTGATAAGTTTAATGAGCCATCTGCTTAAGGTGTTTCTTCGCATCCTTCACACAAGAATGTTCAGAAAGCTGGAAGATCTAAGCGGTGAGACACAATTTGGTTTCAAGAGCGGACTAGGTACACGTGAAGCAGCTTTCTGCTTGAATCCGCTTGTACAAAACTGCATGGATCAACGAAAGGATGTAGTCATAACATTCCTCGATTATGAAAAAGCGTTTGACACCGTAAAACATGACGCAATGATAAAAATGCTACCTAGTTTGTAGTTTGTTTTCCTAGTTTAATGACATGACCTAGATATACATATTGTTCAACATTTTCTATGGTATGATTTTGTATTGTTATATTTGTCTGGTCTTGGCTCAGTATTTTTTTTTACCGCATTAACCCCTAGGGTTATTAGCGGGGTGGTATATCTTTATTTTAGAAAAGTTACATTACAGTTACAGTTTGTTATACAGTTTACACTTTTTGATAAAATTTATTGTATTACTGATGTCTTCTTTTAGAGTTTCTTGTAAATTGTGTTTTATTTTTGCTGTCGATCTTGCTGTTGAGTACACTGGACAGTCTATCATTATGTGTTGCACTGAAAATGGTGTTTGACAGGTGTAGAAAATCGGCTGAGGATCGTTGGAGATGATGTATCCATGTGTAAATTTCGTATGGTCTAGCCGCAGTCTGTTAATAATTACTTGGTTATGTCTTTGAGCTGTGAGCGGTAATAAAGCAGAAGTAACATCTGGTTTGATAAATTTTAATTTTGCTTCTGTTTGGTTCCATTTTACTTGCCAGGTTTTGTTAATGTAAGTCTTTATTAATGTTTTTTGGTCTGAGATTGGTATGTTTTGCATAATAGGAATTGTCATGTCATTGATAGTTTATGTTGCTGCTTTATCAGCTGCTTCATTACCCTTTATTCCAATATGGGATGATACCCATAAAAATGTAATGTTTTTACCACGTGTTTGGGCAATGTATAGCATGTCTTTTATTAGTGCTAAATTGGCATGAGTGGGGTACATCTGCTTGACACCATTTAAGGCACTCAAAGAATCTGATATAATGAGAAAGTTTATATCATTGCTGGTACATTGGTTCAGTGCGTTGAAGATTGCTTGTAGTTCTCCAGTGTATATGCTACACTCCTTGGCTAGATGGGTAACAGAGGTGTTGTCTTCAAAAATAGCTGCAGCAGCTACACAATTACTGCTTTTAGAGGCATCAGTAAAATTTAGTTTGAAATCAGGGTATCTGGAGATGGTAGACTAGAATTGTTGTTTTATTTTAGAAGGATTGTGTGATTGTTTGAGATAGTTAAGTAAGGTAAAATCTACTTTTGGTATTTGAACTTTCCAGGGAGGATACTGGCATCTATTTGTAGAAGTGGAATCTATTTGTAGAAACAGACAGTTTAATAAGACGATAACCGTGAAAGCCTAACGCATTTAAATACCTGTTCCAATTTTCTGCCACCAATTTTCAACATTTCAACAGTAATATTATCCTATTCCGGACATTTATTCGTTTTAGTTGATTTAGGGCCATTTTTATTTCATTAAAAAAGAAATAGTGTGATAATATTCCAACAGAATAGTAAGCAACGTTTGTAATAAAAAACATTGCCTTAATTGTAAAGCTATAAGTTTTTCATGTTTATTCATAATAAAAATTTCATATGTTATTAACAAACCTTCTAACATTATTCTTAAAGATTATCTAAAATAATAATTGGATTACACAAATTTACTTGATAAGAATTATTGTTTGGTAATGTTGGCATCTCAAGGTCCTTATAAAAAATGTATTCCGTTATATTTGCATAGAAAATAAAAACGAAGCTGATAATACCATCTACGTAATTGATGATATTTTTCAATTTATGTAATTTTTCAGGACACAGTTGTGAGCGGTTCAATAGTAATGGAATATTCGCCGCAACATTTTAAGTTTTTTTACTTTTTAACACTCAAAAACCATTAAACATTGACATGTTTTCATATATTTGTGATACAAAATACATTATGTAATCAAAGTATTCCAAATTAAAAGATATTAATGCAGGAGTACCGTAGGTTTAATGTGTTGGGCCAAGTTCTATATCTGATTTATACAAATGATATTCCCGAATTAATACATGACACTCTAGCCACCTTCGTAGACGATATTGCTCTCTTGGCCGTAGGCAAAGCGATTCCCAACGAAGCAGCTAGAAATCTACAAACTTACTAAAATTAATGAATGGACTAAACTGTAGCGAATTAAGTTAATTGAAACTAAGTACGTTCATATCAACAATACAAATAAAACGTCACGTGAATATGAAGAAACACGCGTGTTTCTTCATGTCATCTGACCATCGCATTTTAAGGCGGGATTACCGCCATAAAATAGGTCAACCTCATAAAAAATCTACAAGAATAGTGAAAGAAGGTTGGTAAGTACGATTTGCTAGGCAAACTGGGCAAAAATACTATCTGGAGCAGAAGATGACCTGCAAACTAAATGTATCGGCTTCACCAGAATGTAAACAGTCTAACATAATCATACCAATGGACAACATCAAGAGGGTGACATTCTATAATTGACAGAAAAAGCATTGAGCGAGTCTCTGGCAGTCATAATCTGGCAAACAAAATAAAACATCAGAAATATAAAGCTGTCTCTTTATCGGCATACCTTAGAGACCTGACAGGACTGAAAAAATTAATATAACAACTAAAGGAAAACCAAAACCGGTAGAAATGTAATGAAATGCATTGTCAGAGATGAAGGGAACTGGACAGGCCATGTAGCGAGAATAGACGACGCACGATGAACGAGTAAAATTACAAATTGGAACCAAGATCAGACAAACATAGTAGAGGAAGACCACCTACACGTTGAGCTGTGGACGTCAGACGTATCACCAAAAATTGGAAAAAAAAAGCACAAAATCCTAAAGAATGGAGAAGTTTAAGGAAGGCCTATGTCCAGCAGTGGACGTGATAAATGAAGACTGAATGATGATAATGAGTATTTGAAGACAAACTCACTATCCATCGAGCATTAGGAATACCTAATAAAAGGCGGAGAGGTAGCAATCTCTAACGCAGAAAGCAAGGTCCAAATAATGAATAGATAAGTCTTAATGAAGAAATAGAAGAAAAAGGAAAAGGACTATTAAAAATAAATGCAAGGAATAGTTCACGATAGAATAAATCCAGTCCAAAGAAGTTAATCTTGAATGCAGCTATACAAATGAGCTGTATATAAATGATATCTAATTTATGATAAAAGCCTCACATTTAAGAAAGTATAGATCAACATATAATCTTTCTAAAATTAAATGATATTTAATAGCTAATTATTGAAATATAAATAGCTCGTCATTCTTTTCAATATCCATTACATATGGAAATTTCTTTAGTTAACTCAGTGTTACCAACATGTCTTATCGGATTTATCTTATATAAAAACACAGAGCGAAGTCAGTCAGAATACAATCGTTTATCATTAGAGTTAAGATTGTTAAGATTAGAATTAATATTCGAAATTTGAACAAAATACGCTACAGAATGGTCAAGTGCTACATATGGTCCATCTTGCTTTATGGCATGGAAACGTGGACTTTGAAAAAAACATCTATCAACAAACTTGAAGCATTTGAAATGTGGTCATTGAGAAGAATGATGCGCATACCTTGGGTGGATAGAGTTCGAAACGATGACGTCCTTAATAGAGCCGGCGTGGAAAGAGAACTCTTTGAATTAATTAAAAAACGCAAGATTGGTTACCTTGGGCACATATTGAGAGGAGCAAAATATGAAATACCACAGTTAATCCTACAAGGAAAGATCGAAGGTAGGAGAGGAGCCGGCCGCAAACAATTATCCTGGTTAAGGAATATTAAAGAATGGACAGGAATACACAATACAGGTGAGCTGTGTCACGCCGCCAAGAACAGAATTCTAGTAATGAGATAGTCGCCTACGCACTTTGGTGTATGGCATATGTTAAGAAGAGAAGAAGAATTAATATTATTAAAAACTAATATTAAAAGCAGTAAAATCAAACTTAAATGAATGTCACAAACAAAGTAGTATAGCTAGTAACCTGCAGTACAATTAAAACTCTTAATAAAAAAATAACGAGAAGGAAAAAGATAATAAAGAAAAAGGAAATAAAACTTACTTTTTCAGGTAAGTCCTTTAAGTCTCCATGCACTACACTGATTCCTCTGACTTGTCTGCTCACAAAGACAACTTCTGGCGTCCCGAATGTCTTCGTTAGCCTTCCAAACTCCTTTGGAAATCTGCAAAATAACAAATTTCCGTTGTTAAAGACAGCTAGTAGTGGCCGCATCTTTCTTTCACTGATGGCAAATTCCGAAAACAATTACTTCTTATACCAGATAAATAGAGATAATTACAACACAGTACTTAGGACGTGCAATTGAAATAAACAGATATGGACGTAATTTTGTTCAAAAATAAAATAAGTTTATCAGAAGTTTTGTAATAGCGAGTACAAGAATCGAAAACATCTACATATCTGGTTTATTCTAGAGATTTTGATGGAATACAAATTTATTATTAGGACTGTCATGTGGGTACTTAGAACGTACGCAGAAAGTTTATTCAAAAATTATGTAACCTTATGTATAAATTTGCTAAAATAATCTTTATGTTTAATCATAAATACATGTCACTGATTATAGTCAATTTCCGCGATAACTATCAGCTACGTACATAAAATATTGCTCTACTTAAATTATAGCATATTATATACAACACACAAAGGAAGACATACAAGCACTCTTTTAAACTTTCTCCTGTTCATTATTTAAAAAAATTTCTGCTGCTCATTTTATTGATATCTCTATTCCGAACACATGCACTAAAAAATGCAAGAAAGCGAGTATGTACAAATTCTTCTTCTTCTAAAGGTGCCTATCTTCTCGTGATGTTGGCGAACACATTGACCCATCCACTTTATTCTATTCACAGCATCAGCAGAAATGGATCAGTTGACGTTCTGTATCTTCTTGCGGCGTCTCCTTTCGAAGGTTGGCAATCCAAATGGCAATTTTAGCTTTGGAAACTGATGCACGAAAGATTTCTGCGGATGAGCGGTCGAACCATCTCCTCAAGTCTTTCAGCCATGAGTTCTGGCGTCTTCCAACTGATCTTTTGCCCTGAGCTTGACCTTCCAATACGATTTGGAGTAATTCATATTACATTGACTGTTGATATTTGCTGCCAAATATTTTATGGAAGTTACCTGTTCTATTATTTATCCCTTGACATATAAATGTATGTTTGTTGGTATCTTTGAAAACTACTAGAATTTAGTTTTGAAAACATTTAGATGTAAACCGAACATTTCGCTATGAAGAACTACCGCATATAGTATATTTTGTCTTGTTCTTGTGCGTTGCTTGCTGTTAGGACTATCTCATCAGCGTACCTGATGGTGTCTATGCTGGCTCCGTTAATCTTGATTCTACCTTGAACCTCGTCTAATGCTTTTCTGAATACAGATTCCAAATACAGATCAAATAGTAGCACAGAAATGATTCATCCTTGTCATTGGATTTGTATATCTTCGGATGTTGTGTCTTCTTCTTCTTCTTCAGATGCAAATCCACTAATGGATGTTAGCGATCACATTTTCCATTAATTCTCTATTTCTTGCAATATGTATCAGAGATTGTATATCGTTAATCTCTGTCCATTGCCTTATGTTTCGGAGCCAGGACATTTTCTTGCGTCCCATTCCTCTCTTGCCTTCGATTATAAGTTGGAGTAACCGATTATAAGTTGGAGTAACTGGTATTTTTCATTTTGCATTATGTGACCTAGATACGCCGTTTTCCTTTTCTTGATGGTTTCGAAAAGTTGGCGTTCTTGGTTTATTCTTTAAGGACATCTATATTTGTGATTTTCCCTGTCCATGGTATTTTTAGGATACGGCGATAAAGCCACATTTTGAAAGCTTTTAATCTGTTTATATCCCTCGTTTTGAGTGCCCAGCCCTCTACGCCATATAGCAGCACTGACCATACGTAGCACTTAGTAATAGTCTCAGTTAAAGGTCGAACTCTGAACAAGTCAGTACCTTCTTGAATTTTACGAAAGCTTGTCGAGCTTGCTCAATGCGACATTTTACTTCCCTGTCCGATGCCTAGTCTTCAAAAAGCCACGATCCCAGGTATTTGAATTTACTCACTCTTTCAATGGACTTAGTATTCAGTGTTATGGTGGAGTTTTCAAGTGCATCCAAGTTTCTGGAGATGATCATGAATTTGGTCTTTTTGGTATTAATCTCTAATCCCATTCGCTTACTGTATTCTCCGATTATAGTGACAAGTTGTTGAAGATCGACTATGTTGTCACAAATTAAGACACCATCATCAGCATATCGTATGTTGTTGATCAATACTCCATTCACTTAGATTCCCTTCTCTACATCCTCCAAATACTCTTGAAATATGGCTTCCGAATAAATGTTAAATAAAAAAGGGGAAAGCACACACTGGGAATCACTGATGTTCCATTCACATTTTGACGTACTATTTTTAAGAATATTTTTAAAGTGTGACTCATCAGGCTAATGAGTCTGTGATCCTCACATCTTTTTGCATTGACTTTCTTGGGCAGGGAAATAAAGGTAGAGCGTAACCACTGTTGAGGATAGCAGCCAGTTTTATGAATTAAATTAAATATTTTGTGTAGTGCTGAAATTCCCCTTTTATCCAGTAATTTGAGTATTTCTGACGGGATTTTATCTGGTCCAGGTGCCTTATTGTTTGTTGAATTTAATATTGCCTTTTCTATCTCCTCTTTGGTGATTGAAGGGCCAGTCAGCTGGTCGTCTGTATAAACTTCACTCATGGGTCTTTCGTCATGGAAGAGCTCCTGGATATAATTTTCCCATATATCAATTTTCTCCTTTTCACCCAGCACTATCTGGTTATCCTGATTAACTATGTAAGATTTTTATTATGTGTGGATATAAAAGAAAAGCATCTAAAAACTTAAATACTCATACAAAACCGTAGAAACAGATAATATTAACACATGCCATCGTATTATAATATTATAATAACGTAACAACGGAAAGTTTTGAATCCGGGTCATAAACAATCAGAGGTGATAAACGAACTCAGGACAAATGTATCTATTACATTGTGATTAGTGGTATAAAGTTCAGTAATGTATTGGCAGAATGAAACAGTTCTAGATTAGCAGTATAAAGTCCAGAAATTTATATGAGCGCAAGATCAAGGAGAGGTTAAAAGAACTGAATAAAGTTTTGTTGAGATATCGAGATAAATGATTTCTAATTATATTAAAGTTGTTTACAATTACAAAATACTGTATTATAATTATTATATCAATAGTATCTCAACTTTTTAAATTTTAATTTATATATGATTTTTCTTTGTTGTTTGCTAGTTTTTTATAATTGTAAATTACATGGTAAAAAATGGAAAAAATTGTCTATCTTAACATGCCCAGTAGATGCGAAATTATATTATATTATTCCCAAGCGTGAACTAGTTAAAATCCTAGAAGATTTTAATGCCAAGGTAGGGTCATCTAACGAAAATATTGAAGGAAGATAAAATGTGTTTAGTTTCAAACACATATCCCACTTGCCACGAGAAAAATGTTTTTAGTTTTGAGGGTAGTAAATGTCGTGCTGAACGAGGTTAAGTGTGAGGTAACCTAGTGTATACACAACCACGCTCTGTTGAAAAAAGCAACAGACTGAGCGTCTGCGTCTGCCTTATCATTTTATATCATTTTCCATATCCTGTAATACAAAGAATAAATAAGAAAAGAAGCGTTGCTTGTTAACCACCACTCAGAACAAATAAGTTGGTTAGTACTTTCAGACATTCAAAAGGATTGTTTTGCAAGTTTTGCTTTTTGTTGTCTAATAACAGCCCAAAGCCTTGTGACCAAACCCTTCGCCAAACTTATTGGTAACGACAGAGTCATACAAACCCATAAAAAAAACATCATACCACGTAGAGTACGTTCAGGTTGAGCCTGATTTTCTACAAAGTTATTGCAACCCGCAATACTCAGTCAGTCAGTCATTAGCCAGATAGACTCTCAGATGCCTAAAGAGATACAAAAAAATAGGCAAAGGTTACAAGCAATAGTAAAGTCAATAATATTCTTAGGTCGATAAAATATTTCTCTAAGAGGCCAGTGCGACGATGGCCTTCTGCTTCTGGACAAAGATACGGGACCTAGCAATGAGGGGAATTTTAACCCTAATTCTGAAAAAAATTCCCTCAGACCCTCTTTACCTCCCCGAAAATCGAACCTGGATCCGCCCTTGTACAGAAACAACAATGGATTGGGGCAGAGAAATGTGAGGGGTGACCACCTTGTGGAGTTCTGTGTAGAGCATTATCTTGCAATTCAAAACACGTGTTATCAGCACCACCCACGTAGTTGTACAGATGGCGACACCCAGATTGACGAATAAGAAATCAAATACATTACATCCTAATAAGATTAAGATGGAAATCCTCGGCCATCATATGTAAAATATACTCAGGCACAGATTGTGGAAGTGACCATTAACTGCTAGTATTAAACGTCCGACTTCCTTTTAAAGTCCGTAAAAGAAGATCCCTAAGAAAAAGTATGTCCTCAAACTCCTCAAAAATCAATTAATTCCAACAAGACTTAAAAGAAAAACTTTCATTAGATTAAGTTGAAAGTGATTCTGCAAATACTTGGACCTATCTCAAAGACAAAATAATGTAGACTGCAAAAGACTATAGAGATCCGTTTCCAGAAACCGTAAGCCGTGGATAACTGATGACACTTGGACTGTGAGAAGAAGATTAAACTAGATTTGGAACGAACGATGAAAGACAATTCCGCACAGACAAAGCGGATTATATCTCCCAAATACCCAGAGAAATAGAGGAGCATGGTTGTTGGAATGAACCGCGAGATTCAAAAGGTCAAACTTCTTACCAGAAAGTTTAAATCTGAAACGTGATCAATAATGGATAAGGAGGGTAATCTAAAGCCGATACTGACGAAATATTGGAAACGTGGCGAAACTATTCGAGCAATTACCCTAAAAGTACTGTCTTGTTCTCTGAAGTAAAAGGAATGGAATGGAATGGAATCACTAGGGATGGAATTTACTAGATAGTTAAAGATAAGCGGCCACTAGGTGGCAAAGGATTACGTACCATCCATTATAACTGTGTCGATGTTTGTAATTCGGGAAAATTGCCATCTGTAAAGAGAACAACTTTGAGACAACTTATTTTCA